GGGGTGGTGTGTGGTGTGGTATGGCAGTTAAGGTGCTGGACTCCCGCATGGCTGATTGTAGTTTGAGTCCTGTACCTGGTGGCTTGCGTTCTCACTTTCCCTTTCTCTCTCTCTCTCTCTAAAATTAAAAATAAATAACAACAAATAAAATTAAGAAAAAAAAAAGCCCCTCTGAGAGGTCCCGAATTTCAGATGTGAGGTACAGGGGAAGACAGTGCGGTAGGATCAGCTCCTGTCAGAATGAAGTCTGAGGACTGGATGTTGTCACAGTGTTGGTTAGTCTGATGCTTCATGGTTTCAAGATGAGTCCCAGGTTTCGTGGGCTCCTGACGGACTGGTTAGAAGCTGAGGTTATTTGCCAAGAGGTAAGGAAAAAAGAGGTGTTGGAACAGAGACTTGAGAGTCTAGGCAAGGTCAAGAAAGTTGTGGTGAATCCGTAGGAAATTAATAAAAGGGTCCCTAAGAGGAAGCTGGATTGTGAATTCACAGTGGGCTGCGAGGAGCAATGTCCAGGGCAGGCCTGTGGGAAGGCATGTCACCCATCCCAAAAGACTCCGGAATCAGAAATGATTGCCTGCTTGGGAGCCACCTGAATAACGGCCACCGAATCCTTCTGCAGGTTTACCAGGGGAGCCGGCATGTAGGGAGCTGGCTCCTCCGCCTATTGTTGGGAGCCGAGGCCTTGGAGGATGCGTTAGGGGCTGACCCAGCAGCTAGGGAGGGCCTGGCCTCAGCACCACCCGCACGATCCTTCCGTAGTTCATCCCTCTGCCCACAGTCAGTGCTGGGCACTTGCTCTGCTGGGCTGTCAGCTGGAGCTGGGAGGCATCCCCCAGAGAAGCGAGCCTGAGAGAAGAGCCTTCCTTCGAGGAGCGAGGAGCATGTCTCGGTCGGGCGTCTCCCGCCTTGCTGCTCCCTGGCAGGCCAGGCTGTGTGGCCCAGCAGGGGTGGGATGGAGGGAAGTGGGGAGGCACTATCCCGGCAGGCTTCCAGTCGGGGAAAAGTGAGTTTGCTGCTGTAGGTCTGAAACCTGCTGATTTTGGTGAGCTTTCTGTCTTTGTGATCTTCTGGGTTGAGTTCCTATTCTCCCTGGCTTTCGGCTACAGTCCTGTTATAACACATAGCCCATCACTGTGGAGCCAAAAGGAACAAGGGGATGGAACTGGATCTCGAGGTTGTTTGGGTCGTGTCCTCTGAGGGAGCCTCGCCAAGGCCCGGGGCTGCTTCCTGTCCTCAGGGTGCTATGGCCAAAGCCCAGGAGCTTTGCAGGGTCAGAGAGCAGAAAACCAGGGCTGCAGGGCCAGCTCTGGTAATCAGGGACCCTCCTTCCTACCCATT